TGATAAACCAGAACAGCAGCTCACTGGGTCAACCCCTACAGAACTATCGGTGAAATACAGGTTGTGGAAGGCATGGAGGTACAAATGCAGTGCTTGCATGTGTAGAGAGATTAGATAAACTGTCACAGAACAAACCAAGGAATTTTAGACGCCATCTCTGTAAGCGTGTGGGGCTATAGTTCATAGATGTTATGAACAGATGCGGGGGGGAAGCTCACACACTTCAGCCAGAAAAACCCGAGTCCTTACACTGGTGACGCCCCATGAGTAGGAGTTTTCAGACCAAGACAGGAATAGCATTCAAAGAATGAAGATTTAAAATTTTAGCGTTAGAGTTAAAAATTGAGCAGTTTTCAAAGTGATTCCTCAGATGAAAAGCCCCAAACTCAAATTTCCATTCATGACTCAGAATTACAGGTAGTTAGAGAGCTAGACAGAGCCTAAGAGACTTCTCTATCCAAGAGCATGAAACTAGCTGGGATCCATGGAGCCCAAAACAACTTCTGAAGAGGGGACACCTACAGACAGATGAGTCTTCCTTTTTAAGGAATAAATATAAAAACTCCATGCTGTCCCCTCCATAACACATTCTACTTCGCTTCTACTTGAACTGTCTGAAGGTCATAACTCACGTTAGACCTCACATTTAGCCAAGTGTTCAGATACGAAAGTGTGGTACAAACGAGGCACATAGCAAGTCAACAGTTATGTCCCCTCATTGCTGTTACCATTATCCTCATTTGTCTGTCACACCCCTTGTTGCGCTTAGCCTTAAACTTAAAATAAGCTCCTCAGAGCAGAGACTTTCCACTATAGGTTTGTGCCAAACCTGACCCAACAGTGGGGAAGTGAGAGGTCTTTTGATCTGTGTTTACACAGCACAATGGGGTCATAGGTCCATGCCCAGCGCTCCTACGCAGTACCACATTACCAAGAAGAAGAGGAGACTCCCAATCCCAACTGAGACTACTACATTAAAAATAAGTGTAAATGCAATTGGAAAGCCCCAATGCCAAGTTACCAAACAATGGAGTTTGACCTCACAGGGCACGGTCATAAGAAAGGGGTGTGCTCTAACTAGGTTCCCCACGGTGGTGGCATTTGCAGTCTAGGCCTTAACTCTTTCCCAGTGCTGTGAGAATGTTGTGCAGGGGATAAGCTGTGTCTGAATCTCATGTCTCTGCTGTTCAGGAGGTTCCAGTTAAGGAGAACTCTGTGGCCCCTCACACCTAGAAGAGGAGAGTCAAGTTGTGGCTCTACTGGAGAGGGCTTCATGGTATGGCTGGCACCAACCCCCCCCTGCTTATGTATCACAGCTTATGGGTGCAGTATAAAAAAACCCTAAATAGAGCTTGTCTAACAGGACACATCATGCAGCTCTACGGTTGCACACAGAGGGAGGCTTTCCCTACCCTAGGTACCTGTATATAGCCTTGGCAGAATTAAGTGTTTTTATAGAATTTTGATAGCTAATAAGCTTTATTTTTTTAAATTAAAATTCGAGGTTTTCAAACTGTGGGGTGTGCCCCCCCAGGAGGGCAGAGGAACATTCAGGAGCGGGGGAGACAAACGGTGACACCAGGGCCGGCTCCAGGCACCAGCCCGGCAAGCAGGTGCTTGGGGTGGCCGCTCCGGAGAGGGGCGACACGTCCAGCTATTCGGCGGCAATTCAGCGGACAGTCCCTCACTCCCGCTCAGAGCGAAGGACCTCCCGCCGAATTGCCGTCGCAGACCGCGATCGCAGCTTTTTTTTTGGCTGCTTGGGGCGGCCAAAACCCTGGAGCCGGCCCTGGGTGACACTAGCCCCACATGGCAGGGGTCAGGGAGGGCGCACCGCCTCCACCCCCTGACTCACCTCAGCAGGCCACCTAGCCCGTGGATCAGTGTCAACATGCACCATGGCCCCATGCTGATTTCTGCTCCCGGCAGCCTCCACACCTAGCGCTGGCTCCACCCCCAAAACCTTCCCCCACCCTGTAAACCTGAAGGGGGGGGGGGGACCAAAAATTGTAACTCAAAGGAGGGGCTCAGCTCAAAAACTTGAAAACTGCTGATTTAATTTTTCACTGAAAGGGATATCTTGGGGGAGGGCGGGGGGGAAGGATGTCAGAATTATTTAAACAGTAGATGTTGAGATTCAAAAACATTAAAGCTTTATAACTATTAAAAGGCAAGTTGTCAACTTCACATGTCAAAATACAGAGTAAAATATCCTTAAAAATCAAACTCTAATAAGTCTCAAGCAACTATTTGCCTCTCTGTAAATTGTTATTATCAATGGAACTATTTTTTGTCAATTTCACTGCACGTGCACAAACTGATGTATATCGACATTTACCAATAAAGCTCTAGTCCTGCCATGCCTACCTGTATAGAAGAACCCTGCTCTGGCCAGTTGCTCAGGATACAGCTCGGTGTACGGTGGCCAGCTCTGGAAAGTGGCTAGTCGCATCGCCTCGGTTTCCATCTCCGGGTATTCTGGTTGACTGGGTAGGGCTGCCTCTTCCACATCCATCCTCTGCAGAAGGCTGAGGATCTGCCCATCCACATAGTCCAAGATCTCCAGAAAGGGGAGCATCTGCTGGTTGCCAACATCTTCACCACAGATAAACTTACAGGTAGGAAAAAATTTTTGGTGCTCTCGCATGGGTTGATCCTCAGCCTCCCAGCTCCTCAAGATACCGCCACAGCAGAAGCACTGCACTCGGTCGCCAGGACCCAGGAAGAAAAAGCCAGCCTTAGCCAGGTCTGTGGCAGAGACAGGGAGCTCTCTGGCCACTGCCGGAAAGTCCTCAGTCTCTTCTCCTCGCTCCGCATGCTGGTCTTAGACAGCCGAAAATGCCTTTGCCCAGACCTGATCTCCTCTGGGGGAAAGCTGTCCTCCATGTCCCAGCACTGAGAGAGAGAAAAAAATATATACAAGACAATCCCTCAGTGGCCAGCTGTATTCCCCATGTCAGGCAGCACTCAGACTGCCAGTCTGCATTCACATCCCCACAGCTTATCCTGCTACATGTTCTAGAAAGCTCGTGGTCTCAACAAAGCCAAGCATGTTCCTGAATTGCAGCCAAACCAGAGATCCAGAGTGTCTATGCCCTGCTGCTGTTTTTTCCTACCCCTTTACATCTGTCCCCACTAGTGTCTGGAGGGAAGAGACCAGCAGTTTTTCTCTTCCAATCTCTCAAGTCACAGGGAAGCTGAAGTGGTTTGCAAGAAAAGCAAAAACAAGGCAAGGCCTATTTAATGTACTGGACAAAGTCACACCAGCTTTCAGGCTCTGGTCTGAGCAGTGAATACTCAGTCACCTTTCTAGCCTTTAACAGAAGTATAAAAGGGATTTAAATTCCTCGGTTTGCTTTTCTAGAGAGACGTGTTCAACAAGCCAGAAGCCTACACAGAATAGCTAAGATCCAAGCAAATGTTTCCTCATATTATCCCTTTTATAACCAAACAAGCCTCCAGTTACACAGGTCGCCTATTCCATTAGCAGGCTTCTCTTCTCATGATGTGCATACATTTAGTATTTGTTAGTATGGCAGTCTGTGGCCTGAAGCTGAATCAGCAGCTTGTGACTGATCATTCCTATCCATCCCATGTCACAGGACACCCCAACACTGCAGCAGAACCACTACAGAAGTAGCCTAAAATGTTGAGGCCTACTTTACTATATTGGTTTCCCGATGTCACAGTTAATGGTGGTAGTGGTTTGCTGCCTTCACTAGTCCTATATCAAAGGAAGTCTGAAATTAAAGAAAATATATTACTTGATTATCCAAGCCTCCCCCACACTCAAATTGAAGTAATATTCCCCAGATATCTGTAAGCAGCTCTGCAGGGCTACCACCACTTCTGTATTGTCAGCAAAAGTAGACGCAAAAAGGCTCTGGGCCTAAAATCGTCTCTCGTTCACACAGGAGCTGTTATTTAACAAGAGTCAGAACAATCTAAAGACATTTACTATCAAGATGTGGCCAACTATCACCTTGCCCACTTTACTGCACGGTGCACCCCTTTCCTTTACCCTTTGGGAGCTTTTGGTAGCCTGAGGGGAATCGTATAGCCCCTAACACAGTGGTTCTCAAACTTTTGTACTGGTGACTCCGTTCACATAGCAAGTCTCTGAGTGCGACCCCCCCCTTATAAATTAAAAACGCTTTTTATATATTTAACACCATTATAAATGCTGGAGGCAAAGCAGGGTTTGGGGGTGGAGGCTGACAGCTCACAACGCCCCCATGTAATAACCTCATGACCCCCTGAGAGGTCCCAACCCCCAGTTTGAGAACCCCTGACCTAGCACATCGTAGGCCCATTCTTTACTATTAGTACCTTGTTCACAGAGAGGCCAATGACAGAGGTGATATGGAGTCCTAGCTACCCTAGTAAAAGTCCCTCCAGAAGAGGGCTGCAGTACATTGGTGGGTGTGTGTGGAGAAGAATACTCTGGCATTGCCTATGAGATACATGTCCCACGAGTGACAGACTGAAATCACCATTAGTGGGAGTCCAGTATTTCATGGGCACTCACCATTCACTGACAGACAGCCCCAGCTGCTCAGTGGAGCCTGCTCACCCGCACCTCTCCCCCACAGAAAGCACGGCAGAAAAAAACCCCCATTATTAGCAAGACAGCTGGAATTTCCTTCCATAGCCATAGCTGGACAAACCTAAGTGGAGGAGAGAAAGGCCCTGAATGTCCATGCTAAAAAGAAAGGGTGTTTGTGCTTAATGCACTGAAGTAATTGTTTAAGAACTGGTGTAAAAGAAATCCATATAAAATTGCTAGAGAGTCAGTGAGACTTAGGGGATTTGCAGAGCAGTGAAGGTAAAGGTACTTGGAGGCTGCTTTAACCTACATACCCGATTTGGCTCTCAGATCTCAGAAGCACGTCAGAGCTACTTGCTTGTTTGGGGCAGTTCTGCAACTCCAGCACTATTTCAGTCCTGGGCTCTGCCAAAGCAAAAGTCAGAGTTAATGTCAAACTGTAGCAGGCATTGTTCTCTGTAGGGAGCCATCACCAGGGATTGTCACTTACTGAACCATACATTGGAACAAGTTTCCCCAGTTGGGGCAGGGGTGGGGGGAGAAAGAGGAGGATTACCTCAGCCAACACTCAATAGCAGAGCTAGACTTCATCAGTGAGGGGGGAGCACCAGGTAGTTAGTATGCTGGAGTGGTTTTCTTGGGGGAGGTGGGGTTGAGTTGGTTTTAAACTAGGACAAGTAGGAGATACCATCCAGTTTATGCCCCCCTGTCATAAATCACAGCCACTCACCCCTTCCTCCTTCCCTCCCCCAAAGGAAACCCCCATTAATTTGCTTATGTTGAAATAATCTATTGATCCTGCCAGGGACCCCTTTAGACAGGAGCTTTCATAGCAGCTGAATTCCCCAAGACCAGACTGAGATGGCAAGTCACAGAAGGGAAAGCCAGTATTTCCACCACCCCATGCACACTTTCTTAGGGCATCAGAAACATAGATTAAGCCCCCCACATCATCTTCCTCAGAGTACTTACTCAACTCTGGGCCATTAAAAGCTAACGCTAGACACCCATTCATTAGCAGTCCCATTTCAAAGGGGGATCTAGCCAGAATCCAAAGGCCTCCCTCCAATTCTACTCAGCAGACTATTGACCAAACAAAACCATAACTAACCAGCTACTAATCCACATCCTATGGAGCACTTCTAACATCCAAGACCCTCCTAGAAAAGCTAGTTTGTCTTCCCAACCCTATTTAAAGCTTCCAGGGCCCATTGTCTTGTGTTGTGACTGAGACAGGTTAGCTTTGTTTCTCTTTTCTCTAGCTCATTGTAGCTGCCCGTCTGGAGGGTGTGGTACACCTCGCAAGACCTGAGTGATTTCACCTGCTGGGGAAGTGCCTATTGCTGCTTTCCTCTGATTGGCTGGTCTACCTTTCATCTCCATTCACTCTGCCTGTGAGGGAAAGGGCCCATGTGAACATTCAACCATCTCTCCTACTAGTCTTTCAGTAAGTAACTGTTCAGGTAGCCAGAGCAGACCTCACCCCCTATATTGCTGTTTGGGATACTCCCTATACATACCCCCAGTTGTCATCCCTCCTTCCCTTCCCCTCCCTCCCGAAATCCCCCACTAAAAGTGGTAGCTGAACAGCAGGCTGAGAGATTGTCTTGGAGAAGGATGTAGTGAGAGATGCTTAACTTTGTGTGCTGGAGGATTTCTTGGAGATTCACTCTTAGCCCCTGTGGCACCCTGGAGACCCATTAAGGGCTAGCAGATCTGCTGCAGCTCTAGATCCCAGTACCATATATTTCTGTATAAAAATTCAAAAAGCCACTGAAAAATTCAGAAAAGCACAAATAATTACCCAAATCATTATACAAATTGATTAGCAGCAGCAAATATTTATATTGTGGTAGTACCCCAGGGTCCCCAGCCTGACTTGGGCCATGTTGTGCTGGGAGCTGTACCTACAGCTTGATTATGGCCCTGATCCTGCAAACACTAAAGCACCTGCTTCGATGGGACTACTTGTGTATGTAAAGTTAGGTAAGGTTTGCAAGACGCAGGCCATAACTACTCTGTGCCTCCTTCTGTAAAATGGGAATAATAACATT